CAGCTTAGTGAGATTCATTCTGTCAAAATACCCACTTTGTCTACTGTGTAAAAATAAAAAAAAAAAAGAACTGCTTTGAAATACTGCTCACCTCCAGCCATTAAATGTGCATATCTGTCTTGCAACATTGAACACTGTGGAAATTTCCATAACAACACACATCTAGAAGGATTCGTGGCTAAATCCAAGCATATATACCTTTTACCATAATGAAAATAATAGAAATAAGTTTGCCTGCAGAGAAACAGTGATGATCAAACAGTGATAACAGAGGGGGAGAGAAAAAAAACACCTTAGTTCTATTTTTGTACCCTGCAGAATGCTGTTCAAAAACTTCCAAAAATTTGAGACAAAAAAAAAACTTGTTTTTTTATTAACATGAAGCAACTATTAAGACCGTCTGAACTTCATCCCGTGCCCCCATGCAATTTCTCTGAGCTTAATTACTCCTGTGTAAGTAGGATAACTCAGTAGAAGGTACTATTATAGTATTTCTTAAATTACTGGACATTCATGGAATGCGGTTGTACTGAGTTGCATAACGTCCCCTAAACATTCGCATCCACCCAGAACCTGGGAATGTGACCTTATTGAGAAACAAGGCCTTTGCAGGTGCAGTGGAGTTAAACTGAGGTCTACTAGCACAAGCACAGGCCACAGCCTGTGATGGCTGTCCCCATAACCAGAGGGAAACTGGGGCAGGCAAAGAGCAGAGAGAAGGCCACACGGAGGCAGAGACTGGAAGTAAGCTGCCATACCCAAGAGATCCTAAGGACATTGGGCCACCACCAGAACCAGGACACACTCCCGGGAAGGCCTCTGCCCTGGAGGCTTGGGAGGGAGCATGGCCCTACCGACGGCCCCATTTCCACTTCTAGCCTCCAAAACTATGACCCAGTAAATTCCCATTTACTGAGCCACACAGTTTGTGGTTATTTATTACAACAGCCTCAGGCTGGTGGTTGTTCTCACGATTCCAAAATTCAGCGTGTAAACGTCCATGCCTTCTGACGCTCCGACGCGTGGTTATGGTTAAGAGAGTGAAACTGCCCACTTCTTTCCCACTGAATTGAAATAAGAGAGAACATTCATCAAAGTCCCTCACGAGCTTTAAGAACACGTACTTTCCAACTCGACCCATTTTTATTTATGACACGCCCATTCCATCCGTCCTGCGAAAACCAGGAAATAGTCAGTATCGACTCTTAGAGCAACTACTGATTATGAACGAAACACTGAGTGCCGGGAGAACTCTCAGCAGCCTGCCCAAAGAACAGTCAGAATTCTAACAGGAAAACCCAAAAGTGAGGGAAGAAGGTAACATTTTGAAAAATGCAGATGAATGACGAGATCTCGTCAACAGCCTTTTACAGAGAGTAGCTGTTCAATAATGTTTAACGAACTAGTAAATTATTAATTAAAACTGTATCGGGGGGCACCTGGGTGGCTCAGTGGGTTAAGCCTCTGCCTTTGGCTTGGGTCATGATCTCGGGGTTCTGGGATCAAGCCCCACATCAGGCTCTCTGCTCGGCGGGGAGCCTGCTTCTCCCTCTCTCTCTGCCTGCCTCTCTGCTTACTTGTGATCTCTGTCAAATAAATTAAAAAAAAAGAAACTGTATCGGGATTGGTAGCCTCTCTACGTTTTCTATCGTAGTATTCCCGGTTCTGAACAGTAAGTCTGTATATCCAGTAACCCACAACTATATTAACTCAAAATATTTTACATCAATGAGTTAAATACACCTAAACAAATCACACATTTGACAGGATTTCTGGCTGCTGCCATGGAGTCTGGTTGAATGGATTTAACACTGATCACAAAAGACGCAGTCCTTGCCCTCCTGAAGCTTCAGTTAGGCAAGAAGGCATGGACAGTCTGGCTAAATCAGCTAAAGAAGAAACACCACCTTAACAAAGCAGTGGCTCTCCAAGGTTGTCTACACTGACCAGCTCTGCCCTTAGCTTTCTAACCCCGCCTAGTACTCAACAGCCACGGGCAAGGATTTTCAGCCTCCAATAAGAACAACAGGAACCAAAGCAACATGGAGGGAACAAGTTTTCAGGGAAAAAAGAGAAGACTTTCAAAAATCAGTAATTCCAACAAGACAAACTCATGCGTCCCTATGGTAAGAAGAGGACGCTGCGAACAGAATTCAGCAAAAACACACCGAAAACGCAACCGCACAAGTAAGTTCAGAAAACGTCTCATAGTGGTGCCAACAGACAAGGAAATGAAAAGCAGAACCGAAAGAGAGTTTGAAAAAAAAAAAAAAAAGTAAAAAACCAGTCTAGGAATAGCACGTCCACATACTCACTGATCAAGAAAGTGATGGTGGAAGCCATCATTTAAAAAAAGAAACACCCCCAAATTAAAGGCATGAGCTACAGACACCGGAGTGGTCAGTACTGTGGAAGAAAACTGATGTCCAACCACAGCCATCCACTGCCAACCCGCAGAACAATGGAGGAAGATGCGAGAGTCTGGAGAAGGGAGGGGAAAATGTGGAGTGATACCTCCAAATTCTTGAGAAAAGTGACAGCGAGCCTAGAATTCTCTACCCAAACCATCAGTGAAGCATGAAGAGAGAACAAAGACAGTCTCACTCGCTCAACATGAGAAGGATCTTGGAGGCTGCCATCTTGAAGATGGCTTCTGCCTTGTACCATCTTCACGACCTGAGGGGAGAACACCAACGCAAGGCCGACAGAGACTGTGGCCAGTATTTGTCTCATTCTGATCAAATACCAAACAAGGTCCCAGTCCCTGCTCTAGGCCCAGCTGCCTGGAGCCGAGGAGTACACTTCACAGAAGATGGTGCCTACTCCTGGAACAGAGGAAGCTATGAAAGCAGAAAATAGCAGGAACCAACTGGTTCCTACCTGTATTTCTCAGGATGTCCAGTACTTGGGAGTTCAGGCTGCAGCTCCGGCAGACAGGTCAGCTCTGATAAACCCTAATTCTCTTAAGACCAGCTCATGACTTGGCTGACTCTAGTCAACTGAGGAAAAGCAAAGCCCGTTTATTACCCAAACATCACACAGCTATTTTCCCCTCCAAAGAGCGGGAAAAGGCCTCTTCATCTTTTTTTTCTAAGATTTTTTTTTCCTAAGTCATCTCTACACCCAGTGTGGGGCTCGAACCCACAACCCAGAGACCAAGAGTCAGATGTTCCACTGACGGAGCCAGCCAGGCGCCTCAGGAAATGGCCTCTTCTGAAATAACGAGGCTTATACCTGCTTCTTACATCGTGAAAAGCAAATACACAACACCTTGGAGGACAGACACCGGCCGTAACAGTACAAAGAGAAGCAGGGAGTTGATCCCCACAAAAGTGAGGGTGCGGGGTCCCCTCACAGGGGCAAGAGAGCATGTCAGGGAGGGACACGCTTCTGGGGGCAACTCCCAGGTCTAGACGAGAGGTACGAATTTATGCTTTCATCTGTCACTCGTCAAGCTCCTCACAGAATATCCTTCCAAAGAAAATCTATTTTTTCGAGAGTGAGGGACGTGATCTGGTGTACACACTTAAAATACTACGAAGGCCACCACAGAGAGAGTGGACCCCAACTGTCGGGGTCCCCGGCGGGGGGAGGGACGCACAGACACGGTGGAACTGAGTAGGTTATGGAAAACTAAAAGCTGGTTTGATTATTTTTATCATTTCCAGGGGAGGATGTTATCAGGAAAGCAAGAAAGGTAGGAAAGAAGGAAGGAGGGGCGCCTGGGTGGCTCAGTGGATTAAGCCGCTGCCTTCGGCTCAGGTCAGGATCTCAGGGTTCTGGGATCAAGCCCCACATTGAGCTCTCTGCTCAGCAGGGAGTCTGCTTCCTCCTCTCTCTCTGCCTGCCTCTCTGCCTACTTGTGATCTCTCTGTCTGTCAAATAAATAAATATAATCTTTAAAAAAAAAAAAGAAGGAAGGGAGGGAGGGAGGGAGGAAGGGAGAGAGGAGGAAAGAAGTATCGATTGGCCAGCCAAAAAAAAAAAAAAAATTCCCCAGACCTCGTGTCGTTGCCTGCGATCACTACCCCTAGCCACCCGTCCCATCTAGGCTGTTACTCAAATTCAGGAGGGTCAAACTGCTGTAAAAGTCACCTACTTGGTAACTTCAGAACATGATTTTATCCCTAGTTGCAAAAATCATCTTTTTAAGTCCAATTTTGCAAACAAGGACAGTGCAACTCAAGAAAGTTCACAATTTGCCGTGACGGGCTTCAATTCTGAGGGAGGCCTTCGGGGTAACTGAAATTCAGGAAGCCCATGTCTGCACCCAGACCCTAAACTCTTGCTCCCCGTGGCACATCACACCATTGGCATTTCAGTCCCCGTGGGGACAAATGGGGTGGAAACAGGCCCCCTCGGGCCTGGAAAGCCAATTTCCGCCAGCTGACAGCAACTCCGATTGAACGGCCCAAGGACTCGGGGTCCAGGGAGGCAGAGGACATTTCGGGACTCCCTCTGGCCCACAAAGATCATCCCTGCCCACGGCTTCCATCTACACACAAGTGTCAGGCATCATTTTCAAGTATTAAGAACCCGGTGATCTGTTTCAGCTGTGTTCCCCCCTTTCTGTTGGCGCCTCCCCAGGCCTACAGCCCATCACATACTCACCCCAGCTTCTCGGGCCATCCAGGAAACCGAACCATCAAGAGGAGCATCATTTTCTATTATTTTTACCAAACCAGTACCCGAAATAGACTTGCTACGTGTCCTGTTCCCTTCGTAAGGGGTGAGGGAGTGCAAAGGAGGTGTTCTTATTCTATAATAATACAACGTGCAGAAAAATGGTGAAGCCACGCATTCGTCAGGATCCTGTGATATGAGGAACTCGTGGACATGACAAAACAGAGCAAAAGCACAGAGAGAACATTTTAAACATGTGCAGTGCGAGTGGGCAGGTAGCTGTCCCAACAGCGGGAAACGACGGGCTGCAAGACCCTTTCCACGGGAGATCGGGGAGTGTGGAGAAGAGCACGAGTCGCCACGAGCCGACATCTTACCTTAAATACTTCCATCGGAAGAGGAAACTGGGCGGCATCAGCGAGAGATTTTTCCAGAGCACATTTCCACTCAGATGCCATCTTCAAAGGATAGATTTCTGTATCAACAGCAAACCACATAAGCGTTTAAGGACCAAAATGTTCTGCGGGGATGGTTCTCCCTTGAGTTTTATCTTCCGAGTTCTCAGAGTCGCTCAGCACCGTCGGCGACCGCGAGGATTCGCACCCCGCCCCATGAAAGGCCGCCTGCGGACGGGGTTTTCTGATGGGAAAGAGCAAGTTGAGACTCTGCGATCAGAAATGAAGAAGAAAGTTCATGGGGCCCTTCCGGGAACATGTGCGTGCATTCTGGGGGCTTCCATCAGTAATTTATTGTAATTTATAAACCACATCAGCCCCATCTTCAGTCGTCCGCGGCCCCAAACTCCAAGCATCACCTGGGAAGCAATATCCCCTGATGAAGAACTTATCAGCAGATAAACTTCTAAGCTAGAAACGACTCTCGTCTGGCATTTTCAGTGATCACGGCCTGTTTCTCACTAACTCTCTGAGCGCTCGTGGGCTAAAAATAGCCCGTGTAAGCCAGAAAATTATTAAAAGGTAAATTAAAATTTACCAACCAAGTTTAATATTTACACTTGAAATGTTGCTAACACGCCACATGTTGTCCATATTTCCCGCCCGACCCCCACCCGACCCAGGCGGTGGGGTGCAGGGAGAGGGGGGCGGGCAGAGGGATTGACGGAGGGAGGTTACTCTGGCTGAATGCAAAACGGAAAGAAAAAAAAATTGTGGGGCCTTGTTTCCATTGCCTGCTGTGACTGCAGGGGATTTTATGATCTGATCTCAGCGGATTTAAGACCTTATCAAAATAGGATTTGCAGAAGCACTCACTTGAAGGAGATATGTTTATACCTTCCCTTTATCAACCCAGGCTCTTTCAGACAGACAGTGGGGACATGAATATGAATTTAACCACAGTTAAAAGGCAACATTAAACCTCTGGGGCTATATTTTTAATTTCTTGCATGTCTGCTTTTCAGCACGCAGCCGTAGATTCTGATGCCCAAGGCTTCCAAACTCACCTTGAGCCTGAAGCTCCTATGTTTCAAGCAGTTTAGGGGTCTTTCCAGACCCCCGTAATTATGATACAGAGAGATGCTGCTGGAAGGAGTCAGGTAATCAAGGTGCGGCCCCCTGCCGCCCGTGGCCAGCTATGCAAAGTCCCGTAAAGGGTTATTCATGACAAGGGAGGCTCTACTGCGGATGTCGTCTATGATGCTTTTCAGACTTTTTTTTGCACTCTTCTACCTCGGGGGAGTTTTTTTCTTTTCCAATTTGGCATTTCTGTATCAGAACAAGAATGGCATGTGACTTCTCTTAGTAGTTTCTGACATATTTGGGGGAACCCAGTGAGGCCCCGGTTAACAGCTGTACAGAAAATGGATGAATGGTCCCTCCGACATGCACAGGGGGCAGGGGTGCCGAGGGAGAAATCGCTGATCACGGGGTCCCACAAAGGAGGGAAAGGGACCTGTTCACAAATTGTCCCAGGAGTATGGGGGGGGGGGTTTCGGCTCAGTGGCCCTGGACCAGAATCTCAGTGGAGGGCTTGAGGAGGCAAAGCCCTGTCACCCCGAGGGCAGCAGGTCACAAGAGCCTGGGCTCAGGAAAGAAACAATGCCCAAGAGCCTAGAGTTCCCAGGTAGGTGAGAACAAATTCACCTTCCCAGGAATCTGGAAGCTGTTCAACGGGGAGTTCAGCCTTGGCGTGGTAGCAAAAGGGGAAGCAAGCCACCAGAAAGGACGACGATTGCCAAGGACAAGACAGGAAAGATGGGTCAAGGCAGGAGAAGGTGCACAGAGCTGGTGCTGAATTCCCGCTGTCTGGGGACAGGGGAGCCCCTGAGACAAAGAGGAGGCCAAGAGAAGGGTGGTTCACGAAAACTACGCAAGACCAGAGCGAAAGCAAGACCAGCTGGCCAGAGCTGGAGCCCAACTCCCAGAACCGAGCCAGGTGACTCAGTGACATACAGAGCCCCGTAGGGACACTCGCTGCCCTTCCTGACACCTGTGTCTACAAGCACCTGGCAGGGCAGGCCTGGGGGTCCTCTGTATCATCCCCAAAAGGTGAGCCCCCATCCTCCAGGTGCCATCTCCCTCCCAGCAAACCAGAAGCTCGGGGCTACAGATGAACACTGCTGTCCCCCCAAAGTCATTAAGTTGAAATCCTAACCCCCAAAGTGATGCTTAGGAGCGGGGGACTTTGGGAGGTCATGAGCGGGGAGTCCCCATGATAGCATTACTGCCCTTACAAAGGAGAGGACAGAGAGTCCCCTCGCCCCCCACCATGTGAAGACACTGCAAGAAGGCGGCCGTGTGCGGCCCAGGAAGGCAGCCGGGCCCTCAGCAGACATCGGATCTGTGGGAGCCTGCATCTCAGATCTCCAGGCTCCACAGCTGCATGAGGGAGAAATGCCGCAGGTCAGAAGCCGCAAGGTCTGTGCTATCGATTCCCTGGAGCACCTGAGCAGACCAAGAAGCCCAGGTTCCACAGGATTTGGATCTCTGTCCTACAATCTTAAGATCCTCTGTCTTCTTTCTGGGGCCATAAAGCCCTGGTAATGAATGCAACCCCACGGCAAGGCCCCCCTCTCCTAGAAGGTGAAAATCAAATGCAGGTTTTTCAGGACACTCGGGCACCTGCAAAAGCTGAACACCTAACGTTTCCAATGAGCAGAGAACAACATTCCATGTGTGCGTTTCATTAGCCAGAGAGGCGCCTGGTTACACCGGCAAGTTTATGGACAATAAACAGTGCCATTAAAAGAACATAAACCATTTTCTTAAAATGATTGTGTTGTAGGTAATTTAATAGAGTGTATCATGTTGATTTCTGTTTGCGGGCAAGTAATAAGCAATTAAAATCGGCCCCGATCCGTCTTTAACTAGAAGCCTCGGTGAGCGTGGGGCGATCCCCCTCTGAGCGAGCATTTGGAGGGCTCTTGCAAAGGCGAGAGCTGCAGAGAGCAGGAGAGGGGCCTGAGACCACCAGCTCGCAGCCTCAGGCTAAATGAAGCCTGGAGGGGCGATCCCCTTTCTTCACGCACCCTACACCGACCACTCCCTCCTTCTCTCCCCGGTGAGCAAAGGCTGGTCTATGGTTGTTAACAGATGGTGGGAAGGCTATGAACAGAAATGTTTATGTCTCCCCACAAGTAATATGCTGAAGCTCTAAAGTCCAAAGGGATACTATCTAGAGATGGGGACTTTGGGGGGGTGGTAATCAGTGTTAGATGGGATCACAAGGGTGGGGTTCCCATCCTAGGATTAGTGTCCTTATAAAGAGACCCCAGACCTCTCGGTCTCTCTCTCCTCATGTGCACATGAAAGACACCATCCACCAAGCAGGAAGCGGGCTCTCCCCAGAACTCAACCCTAGTGACACCCTTATCTGAGTCTCCCATCCTCCAAAACTGTGACAAAATCACCTGTGTCGTCTGAACCCCCCATCATGGGTATTTCTTTACAGCCACCTGTGCTAACTGATATAGAATTCATTTCTGGACTGTTTCTTGACTAAGACATAGTTCACAAACTTCCTGACTCCAGGTACTATCTAAAAGAAAAAGAAATAGAAACAGGCAAAGAAAAAGAAAAAGGAAATGTTGACATAAAGATTGCAAAGGCAAAAAATAAAAAAAAATATATATACACACACACACATACATACATACACACATACATATGAAGAAGCATCTAGAGATGAGAAAAACTCAAAAAGTTTTGTGTCCTTAGTTTCTGCAAAAACATGTAAGACTCTACCTTGCTTTCCAAGCACCCAGAAATATGAAAGCAGGCGGGGTCTCTAAAAAACTCCTGACCTCAACGATCTACTTACATTTCTTAGGAAACCAAATATAACCATGAAACTCTGCTTACAGACTGAATACCCAGGAAACGCCCATCACTTGCGGAAACTTGGAGCTCTCAGCAGCACAGCAAATGCAGAGTTAGACCCATTTCACAGAGGAGGAAAGGCAAGGGACTGCCCAGGGCTCTGTAGCAAGGAACAGACGTGCAAGGAGAAGCAAACTTGGACCTCGGCTCCAAGTCCCTGTTTTCCCTACTCTGCCGGCTTCCTCTAGCTGGAGGCACAGGTGAACTCTTCTAGAGGAACAAAAATGATCAGGACGTGCACAGGCCACATTCCTGTGCACGGAGTAAGTCCCGGAGCTCTGCTGGGTGCTCACCAGCAGGGCATCTCTGCTTGATCGGACGCTGTCTTCAAAAGCTCCCCCTCCCCACATCAGGGGCAAAGCGGACAGCCCAGCCCTGGCCATGCTGGGGGCGTGTCTTCACTCCACGCCCTCCCCTCCAGGTTGGCTTCCAAAGCCCCATCCATCATTTGGCTCCTGGAAGGTGGACTTGGCTGGTTCCTGCCCTCCCTGCAGACATACCCAACCTTTTAGTCAGTCGATCCATTTGACAACTATTTGCTGAGCACCTACTCTGTGCCAGGCACCGGGGAAACCATAGAGACACAGACCCAGATGTTCAGTGTTCAAGGAGCCACTAAAACCTCCCTGGTGGGAACATCGCCTGGGGATGGGCCACACTACATCTAGAAGAACAGCACCCCGAAGATGGGGTACGCGGGGCATGCCAGTGGGTCACAAGGGAAGCCAGTGTGCCAGAAAATCCCGCCATGAGTGTAGTTTGCCTTCCGTTTGACGCGGAAGGAAAGGGGCTCCTCCACATCTGCCTGACTTTTTTAAAGCTGATTTAATTTATGAAAACATCGCCCTTCCTCTTCCCCCATTCTCTGTGCAACTCGCAATGTCAGGGTGGCGTCGGAGGAGAAGACTTGGGCTGAGAGCTCAGACCAGACGCCAGCGTTCTAGTTGCAGTTCTGCTTTGGTGGGGTGACCTCGAACCACACATCACTTGACCTCAAGGCTTCCGACTCACTAGTGTAAGACAAAAGGGCTGGAACGATGCCTGAAATCATGCCAGTGAGAAGTCTGAGCTGACGACTTCATCCTGCAGGTACAAGGCAAGATGGCTGAGATAGAACATTCTGCCTGATGCTTGCACCGTGCTGTCTTTCTTGCCTTCATTAAAGTTCCCTCAAGCAAAAAACAAACAAACAAACAAACAAAAGCAAAGAACAAAAACAAGAGTCTTCACTCTAGAGAACACACTGCGGGTCCCCAGCGGGGAGGTGGGTGGGGCAGGGGGACACAGGTGACGGGGATGGAGGAGTGCAGCTGTCGTGATGAGCACTGGGTGACGTTTGGAGAGCTGACTCACTGTCCTGTACATGTCTTGGTAAAGCCTGGACCACTAAGGACCTCAGCTACTGGCCCCCTTCCCTGATCACCTGACATCTCACCACTGCCTGCTCGCTCAGCATTCGTCACGGAAGCTGGAGTCGACCTACACCACCAGCACCCGCCTGCACTCCCTGCCACCGCCCTGGGAGCCCTGGATGAAAAGCCCTGACCTATGTTCTCCAATCTGGGCCAGAAATTAAAAGGCGCAGTGACCTTAAGCCTCTCTGGTGGATGGCATCAAAGCAGCCCCTTTTTTCTGAGGTTCTAAAAAAGAGCTACTTCCTATTTCCCATTTCTACCTCTCTTGGTACTGAATGGTTGGGAAAGATTGTGCCCTTTAAAAAGTAGGAAGATTAAGTAAACTGCAGGCAGAGCCGTGGTTTGTTTCTGTAATGGTGGCAGTCTATGAGGTCGCCCAGCCCAGCGGGCAGGCAGGCTAGGGGGTCGCAGGGCTTCCTCTCACAGTGCACCAGAAACATCTGTCCCCTCCGCCCCCACACCTCCAAATCTTCCTGTCCCACCACTTAACACCTGGGAGTAAGAACAACATCTAATATCTTTATGCAAGCATGAGATTTTATTCCCACCTATATTTCAGTTGAGGAAGGAGCACTACCATATAAGTTTTAAATGACTCTAGGTCTTGAAATTAGTTTACACAAACCCAAAGTAACAAGTATTATAATTATATATAATAATTATTATATATTACTGTCAATAACAGCCCAATTATGGAAACAGCCTGAGTGTCCACTGACAGATGAATGGATAAAGAAGAGGGTGGGGTGGGTATATGTAATGGAATATTACGCAGCCATCACAAAGGATGAATCTCGCCATTTGCAATGACATGAATGGAGCTAGAGAGTATAATGCTGAGCGAAGTAAGCCAGTCAGAGAAAGGCAAATACCGTGATTTCACTTGTGTGGAATTTTAAAAACAGAACAAATAAGCAAAAGGAAAACAAGAGAGAGAAACAGACCAAGAAACGAAGTCTTCATTCTAGAGAACACACTGTTGGTCACCAGTGGAGAGGTGGGTGGGGGGTGGGGGAGCACAGGGGATGGGGATGGAGGACGGCAGCTGTCGTGAGGAGCACCCACCATGGTACGGAAGTGCTGACTCCACTGTGGGCTTATCTAACCCTGCATGTCAACTAACCAGGATTTAAATAAAAACTTAAAAAAAAAAATAACAAAACACACAGGTCATAATCACAGCCCCATATGCTGTTCTGCAAAATGAGGCAAGAGAATCCAGTTTTCGTCTTGCAACTGCTTCATCTGAAGAACTGAAGGCCACATAGGGAATACACTTTTGCCTTTTACGTTCCTCTTCCCGTGCAAAACTCCTCTTGCCAACAATTTCAATGTTGGGAAAATGACTTCTTAATGATGAATACCTTCCAAGTTCTTTAAGGACACCCATGAATTCCCCCATGAAATGGACAATTCATGCCCAGAAAACTACTAAGACAAGTAAACACAATTTATTCTTATCTTATAAAGACATTAAATTATCTACAAAAGAGAAAGCACTCTCCTATGCAAATATTTCCCAAGTTTCTATGGTGACACTTTCCATTCTTGCTTTTGAGGATGAGTCCCATGACTTCACAGCAAAGGAACACTGAAGAGAACCTAAGAAGCCACTAATAATCCATCGCTTTGCTATAAATGTTCACACCGGCAAACATAGGGATCTCCTAAAATTTATAAAGCAATTAGATACTAAGCTAAGATTTATACACCCGACTTCCCACACAAAGTAAATTTCTCCTGCTAGGTTATGAATCCCAAGGCAAATTTGAGCTTAGATCTTTTCTCAACACTGACAGGCCCTTTGTTTGTCATCATAGTCCAAAATTACTCAGGGTATATAAATGGATTTCCTGGCTGCTTCTCAAAATGTTGACAACAATACTACTGATAAAATACCATGTTACGTGTCTATATGTCTGTCAAATTCAACAAATGCAAAATACATGACATACAGAACCAAGATTTTTTTCTTTTTCAATTAAAGCCGCTGAGTGACAGAAAGGAAAAATGTTAAGTCTTTGGTTTCATGTACTCGAGACAAGCACTGGCAACTAATAGGGGAGGAAAAAAATCTCTGGCAACTTTAACAAAGCATTTGGCTCTTCACTTCCGATATACCTGGTGAAATCCCAGCAATCTCTGGGAGAAATTAATATTTCTACCTTGGCATCTTTAATTCCATAAGGACCCAACTTTTTTTTTCCCCCTGAGGATACCTATCAAAAGGTTGGTAAGGCCAGTATGGGCAGCAGGAGGAATGGGAAGAAATGAGCAAAGGGCCTAGGAATTTGAACTACGGTATATTCCCCTCTCTCCAAGCTAGATGACCCTGGACAAGTAGCTTAATGTCAGTCTCAAATTTTCTCCGCTGGAAAAGGAAATATTCACACCACACACGTAGCTTCTTTTTGTAATCAAAACAAACAACACAGCAGATGTAAAATCACTTGGCACATAGTAAACATTCAAGAAGGTTAGTTTATAAACAAGATTTTGGCCCGGTGGGGTATGTCAGGAAGCATGATGCATTCTTCTATCCAATGAAGTCTGTGGAAAGTCATTTGACAGGGCATTTGGAGCTAATTAAAATCCATGATGTGCCAGAAAAAAAGTATGATGATCTTCTGTTTGCTATTTCCAGGTCAGGACAGATTATATAATGATAAGCATTTGGTTGGACAGTCGGATGGATGACTGGCTGGCTGGCTGAATAGCTAGTTAGACAGATGATGGGTGGATGGATGGATGGATAGATGGACGGATGGATGGGTGGGTGGATGATGGATGGATGGATGGGTGGGTGGATGGATGGATGAAGGATGGATGGATGGATGGATGGATGGGTGGGTGGGTGGATGGATGGATGGATGAAGGATGGGTGGCTGGATGGATGAGTGGGTGGATAAAGGATGGATAGGGGGCAAATGGGTGGGAGGCTGGGAGGTTGGAGGGATGGGTGAGTAGATGGATAGGTGGGTAAGCAGATGGGTGGTGGATGGGTAGATAGAGGGAAGTATATGGATGAATGGAGACGGATGGACAAATGAATGGGTGAGTGAGTGGGTGGATGACTGGAGGATGTATGGGCAGACAGAGATTTTAGAACCTACTTCCAAGACTATCAAAATTCCTAAAGAAAAAGGGAGAAAATGACCAAGTCACAGTCCCATGTGTCTTTCATTAGTGAATCAGTGATTCCAGAGGAATAAGATCAGCTTCACCACAGCCTCCACCACTTTCTCCTTCCAGAACACTACTGAGGTCTTGAATCCTGTTTTCCATAGAAGAGTTTTCTGCAGTCAAAATGCTTAATGTTCACATATGCACGTGTAAAAGATACCATGGAGCTAACAAACTCTCCAGAGACACATCCAGAAAAACATCACATCCTTTACCAAATACTTCGCAGCAGCAAAAGCTTTGGCCCTTACCTGAAGGTGGGTCCATTCTGTATTTATTCTCTTGACACCAACCAACTGGTCGAAGTCTGTAATCCAAGTAAAACAACCACTGGTCATAGGATTCAGTGTCCTCCAATCCCACATAGCGAAGGCGTAATCTTCCTCCAACATTTTCAATCACACTAACTATCCAGTACTGAAAAGGGCTCTGAGAATCCTGAAGTTCTATTAAGGAATCAACTGTAATGAGGTCTATAGGGCCTTTCCCTCGCAGAGGCTGTTTAAACAGAAGCAAAACTCCTTATTTTAAACTTTATTTTAAGGTTCTCATGGAAACAGATGACAGCAGAAGATAATATTTTTTCACACCATCATCCAAGCTACTGGCAAACAGTCTGGTGTTTCCCTCCACCCCCAACCCCTTCCCGCTCCTTCCACACACACGTTCATTCCCCCGGCCCTCTGTCCAACAACAAGAATCACAAGTAAACAGAACATAACAGTTTGCGCTCGGATCTCACCAAACAAATCACCCTTCCCAGATAAAACAGCATTTGTTAGAAATAAGCATGCTTTTAAGAAGACTTACACCAAATTGTCCTCCCACTAGAAAATATGTGGTAGCTCAATGTCTCTTTTCCCAGACCATGGGGCTATCAATGTACCCCATGACTCAACAGACATTCATCTTATCACGGCTACCATGTGAATGATTAAGACACTCACATACTTTTAAGTGAGCAAAGCATGAACATGTATCAAGGACGTGTCTAACACACGTGAATGATCAGCTACATTAGACAATTATGTAGTTATTTCTACACTTGGTCCCATTGTTGGTTTAGAGAATGTCTATATATACATATATTTATATAATTAGTGCCCACGTATAAGCAAAATTCTCAGCATACGTTGGCATATGAAAAGGGTGTTTGTTCAGTCAGTCTTGTAGGCAAATATGTTAAAAAAAAAAAAGAATGAACAAAGTAAGATAATTCGTCCTTCTGAAAGGGTGAAGAATCATCATTTTGATTTGCTAACCAAACAAATTAGGAGCCGTTAAGATAAGCAAATACACCAGGCAAAATCTTCACAGAATAAAACCAGGTAACGATGTCTTAGATATCAGTGCTCCAAAAGTCAATGTCATTTATGAGAGGAGGGAAATTCATCATTAATGTTAAGAGAATAATGATATCGTCAAGATCCACATCATATTCTTGTTATTTAGTTTCCCCCTTTTTTCGAGGGGCATTCCCTAAACAGATGTGGTGACTCAATAATTATGTATGACAGTATGGCGCTCCCTCTGTTCTACCATATATAGTAAAGATCAAAGTGCTTTATCATACAGTTATTGTCAAACGAACCATCACAACGGCAGATCAATTGTTTTTTTCTTCGGCACCTTAAGCATACCTTAACCACACTGAAATAGGATTAGCCAATCCTCCTGTGGTTTTCAGAAGGGAGGCTGATTCATTATTACTCAACACGCGTGCGTTGTTGGCATGCGTTTACTCAACCAGAATGGAAGAGTCAATGGGACCATTTGTCAGCACGCTCCAAGACTCTAACAGGGCATGCTCATGCTTCGTGGTCACGTCTACGGAAGAGGTCTTCTCCAGGATTTTATTTACATTCACGAATACAGGACAGAGGCTCCCACGTAGAGGATAGTGGAAAGATATCCTAACGATAGCATTATTTAAAAATCTGTTCACACAGAAGCCAGTTTTCCGCTTATTGATTGTACCACAGGTGCAAAAGCTTTGGTGCCATGAGAATCATTACCTTAAACAATTCGGGGGAAAAAACAGGAAGTTAGGCTATCTGGACAGAATATCCACACGTACACGTGTACCCTCTGAAGGATATAGGCAAAGGTGCTCATGCAACCGTGAGGCTTCAGACACAGACTAGCTGAGTAACAACAATACATACACCTTCCAGGAGGTTGGCCGGCGCCGTCCGGGAACCAGTCAAGTCACGAATGAGGAATTCCGTCCAGTCTGTGTACTTCTCTTTGATTGCTGGCAAGACAAAAGAAGAAGAAGAAAAAACACACCTCAGCACAGCAGGCGAGTATCAGGTTCAGTTTAAAATCAAAGCACTTTTCTTTTTTTTCATTTTTTAAGATTTTAGTTTTTATTTATTTGACAGACAGAGATCACACGCAGGCAGAGAGACAGGCAAGACAGAGGGGGGGAAGCAGGCTCCCTGCCAAGCAGAGAGCCCAATGTGGGGCTCTATCCCAGGACCCTAGGATCATGACCCGAGCCAAAGGCAGAGGCTTAAACCCACTGAGCCACCCAGGAGCCCCTCAAAGCACTTTTCTGTACACATGTGTTGTTTTGATACTTTTCTTCATTTTAAGCTTCACACTGGAGAGCTAACACGGCGACAAGAAATCTGCCCACAGCGGGTGACCTCGTGCCCGTGGCATGCTCACACTTGCTGGGCATCCAGGGGATTAAAGAAGGGGGGCCCTGACGTTTGAGGAGAATGTAATCGGGCATTTCTGTGAGAGAAAAGCAGATATCGTGAAGCACGGAATTCAGGGATAGAGAGGGGGATTCCAAGAAGGAAGAGACCAGGGAGGGACAGAAGTCAGAGGACCTTCCCCAGGTGGCAAAACAGCAGTGGGCTCTGAATGACACAGAAGGATTCTGCAGGTGGAGACAAGGAACAAGGGGCTTTCCGACGGAGCGGCCCGGGAAGGGAGGATGTGGACGAAGGCCGCACAGTCGTTGACCAACTCTGGCCCAGTCTGAGCACAGGGCACGGGGAAAAACATCGATCAACAGCCCAGAAAGCAGGCACATTAAGTCAACAGGAAATCTCTGCCTAAAACGTATCTGAAAATAGCACACAGGCTTGAAGGGAAACAAAAGAGGCCAACGGCAGAGAAACCGAGGTAAGGAGTCGCTACAGCTCTCCAAGGACAAAAGCGAGGGGGCCGCAAACTGTGGGGACCATGTTGAGAGCAAGGAAGGAATGTAGCTGAGACATCTTGAAGAACGACATTTCAGACGTTGGAAGCCAACCATCTCTGAGTGCTTAGAACCCGAGACTAGAGGAACGGGACATTCCTGGCACATCTCCCAAAGTACAGATCTCCAAAGGCTTCACCCGGTGACATCCACACCCAGGAGAGGCCCAGAGCCTTCCCGGGGCCTCATGGGTTTCATGAATCAGCAACATAGGAGAAGCATGGCCCAGATTCCCGCCTACCCACTCTGTGGATCACGTGGAGAGCCAGCAGGCCAGGGAGCATTGCCTAGAATACATCCAGTACTTAGCCTCTGTGGAAGGTTCCAGATGCTAGTGGTTTGCACGTTGCCTGTGTTCTGTGGAGGCACAATGCAACAATTTCTTGCTCACACCTCAAGGAACAGAGTTATCACGGAAGGCAGCAAGGCCGTAACAGTGCAGGAGGGAACAGCGAAGTCGTGGCAGGGGAACTGGGCTCCTAGCAGGCTCTGCCCTCACTGGCTACAACTTTGAGTAATTTACCCCACTTATCTTACGCTCTTTCCTCATCAGTGTAAGGGTGCTAACAACATTTTAACCTATGGGCTGCTAGCAGTTTTAGAGAAGATACACACATCAGTAAAACCTAACCATACCGGCACACACCAGGCAATTAATAAATAGCAGCTCGTCTTGTTGTAAGTGTATATTAAAGTATGACACACTCTCACCAAGTATTTACTGTTCATTCCCACAAATGCCAGGCTGAAGCTGCACACGTGCGCTGGCCTGATCGCCAACAGAAGCGGGGACAACAGCGATTGCCATCACTAACCAGCATCCCAGTCAATATCCCTCCCTCACACGCTAAGGATCCTAAGACAAGAGCAGAACCAAAATGGAAGAATTCAGGCAACATAAAGGGAATCCAGACAAGGCTGCAAAGTCCAGCTTTCCCCCGTACAATGCCCCAACCACAGCTTTGCTTAAAAAGCAGCAACTCACCTATTCATCAACATCTACCACTAGACTTTTTGCTCAAATAAAATACCATCTTCCTTATTTTCTACATACACATTCATAAGGTAATGCATCCATTTGGAGCAGGAACTGTTACGGTGTCCTTTTCTGTCATTAGAAAGTGTAGCCATCATTATTCAATGCTGTACCCATTTCTAAATTAGCCCCCTGCTGTGTACTAAATGATTTGTGTCCCTCCCCATATTCCTACTGAATCCTCCAATGCGACTACATTAGGAGGTGGGACCCTTGGGAGGTAATTAGGTTTAGAGGAGGTCATGAGTGTGGAGCCCTCCTGATGGGATCAGTGCCCTCATACATGAGACCCCAAGATCCTCGACCCTCCCACCACGTGAAAGTCCAACAGAAGGAAGCAACTCTGAACCAGGAAGTAGAATCTGCTGGTGCCTTACCTTGAACCTCTAGCCTCTAGAACTGTGAGAAATAAATTTCTGTGGTTTACAAGCCCCAAAGAGTATGGTATTTCTGTTACAGCAGCCTGAATGCAGAGAGACAGCCCTCCTGCATGCCCGCGGTTACCGAGAAGACCAAAAGGAATTGGCATACAAGACAATGGAATGAAAATTTGCATTTCCCTTATACTTTCCAAGCATAACTTTAACTTCCTCTGGGTCTTGGGATCATCATGACAGTGCTCTGAGGGTGATGTTTCTAACTAACTTTTCCCAAGTTCATAGAAAAAGCAAGGGTCACCCCCAACTTCAAATTCAAGTATGCAGACGTCAATCCTACCAGGAGTCTTTCCATGGGAATCCATGACACTCAAAGCTTCTGCATACAGATAAATCAGTAATTTGTAGGCATGATAGAGATAATATGAAAATTACTGTCTAACCAAAGGTTTCAAGATGAGGACAATATACAAATGAGCCCAGCAAATATGCATTCCTTATTTTTTTACCAAAAAATGACAATCAGCATAGCTGGGTGAAATATGGTCCCATACTCGACAGACTTTATGTCCATATCCACTACAAGAAGAAAGTTTAATTGCTTACTTAAGGGGTGGGTTTTTTTTTAATTTTATTTTTTATAAACATATAATATATTTTTATCCCCAGGGGTATAGGTCTGTGAATCGTCAGGTTTACACATTTCACAGCACTCACCATAGCACATACCCTCCCCAATGTCCATAATTAAGGGGTGGTTCTAACATCCACATAATCCAAGTGAACATTGAAATTAAACATTTTTAAATATGCCATCACCTTATGAAAGTGTAATGTTGAAATTGAAGTGGGTTGGGCCATAGTAAGAGAACAGTAGGGATGCTTCTGAAATTATACCTTGTGAGCCCTCCAGCCCAGAGCCCCTATAACTATCCATTAATGTCTCTACACAAGGCTCTGAAGCAATCTTTCATGGGCCACACAGTATCTAGACAAATTACTCTCACTAAAAAAAATGGATCTTAGCTATAAAGATACATGAACAACTTTTGATTAAGAAGTAGAAAGGAAACAGTTCTCAGAAATACTGTTACTTTTTTTAAAAAATATTTTGTTTATTTTTTTGGCAGAGAAAGAGAGAGCACAAGCAGGGGAGCGGCAGGCAGAGGGAGAGGCAGGCTCCCAGCTGAGCAGGGAGCCCCGTGCAGGACTTGATCCTGGGACTCTCAGACATGACCTGAGCCAAAGGCAGGTGCTTAACTGAACGGGCTGCCCAGCTGTTAACAGACAGAGCCACCCAAACACTGCGACTTTTTAAAAGAAAAACTGTTCTGGTCAACATTTAGTTCTCAAACTCAATATTCAAATGTAAAAATCTATTAGAGAAAATACCACCATCTGTATTTTTAAAAAACTATGAAAAACAAGTCTACAATTCGCAGTCAATGGACTTATTTTGAGTAATACTGAATTCAGTTAAATTTTAGTACAATAAAAATTGCCTAGAAATCCCTTAGAAGTCATTGCAACAGAAGCTGACCTGTACGTTCCTGGGTGTCCACATAAGTTTCTAATTAGAAGTTCTAAGACTATAAATTTTCATTTACTACAGAATGCCTCTCTTCAAAGACTCAATCAACTAGCATGGCTATAAGAACCATCTTTCTCAAATAGGAAAAAAATTCCTTGCCCTCTGGTCATTATCTTTTCCATCGGATGATCCAGGCATCAAATTTCGGAAGACCGACAACATAGCAGACACCCAAAGACATCGAATGATTAAAATGAAAACAAAATAGATGGATAAAAGTTTGTCCATAACATTGTAATCATTTCCACATGCTGTTAGCTTATACGGAGACACTCCTGAGAGTTCATAAGATTCTCTATTCATAAGAGTAAAATCAGGATCCTTGTACAACCTTCTCATGAGCACGTTTCCAAAGTTCTATTCAGTTTTAACATTTTATAAACTTCATAGAAAATACATATACTTTAGTCAACTTTGCTTTTTAAGAAATCCAGGTAACACTCATCATTTTAACAGCCCATGTGGGGAGGTACGCCTCTCTCACTGCAGGATGCGATCATGAACATGAGTTTCAGAAAGAGAAAACACACACACACACACACACACACACACACACACACACACACACACACACACACCCCCTATGCTTCTTTGCAAAGACATTCAGAGATGGCCCTCAAGTCCCACAACAGCATTATGGGGATTACAGAGCTACCTATAAAAAGGATTCCAAACAGGGGTGCCTGGCTGGCTCAGTCCATAGAACATGTGACTCTTGATCTCTGGGTCATGAGTTCAAGTCCCACATGGAGGCCAACTGCTGGGGACACTGGTCTGTGGTTCAGAGCTGCCCCTTCAAGGAGACCCTGAACACGGAGATCTGGACTGAAGTCAGAGGGACATACTCCTCCCCTCTCTGTCCGTGTCAGCAGGTTGAACAGACAGGTCCACGGGGAAGACAGGCTGCGTCATACCTTTCCACTCACCGGGAAGATGGGCAGAGTAATTCCAATGGGCAGTGAGCCACTTTCTGCTGAGCCACTCAGATCTCCTCTAGCTGGAAGAAAAGCCAAGCATTCCTGCATCTTAAGAGTCT